GTTTCGATTCTCAGCCACGCCCGCTAAAGTGATGTATCGGCCCCTAACCCAAAGAGGCATGATGTACTAACAGATGGTAACAACTATCCTTCATCCCACGGCGCCACATCATACACTGTTCATCACTCAATTTCTTTATATCCAGTTCCAGGGTTAACAAACAATGAACAGCGTGAAAGCTCCTAGAACAACATGCGTAAAAATGTCTAAGCCACCGAAGCTGGTGTTACCAGATGACTTCACTTACTGAATGATGATCTCTATCATGCCCAAACACACACTGCCATACCTCAGGATTCCTTACATGTTGTCCCTACCGAATACGAGCAATCCCTAGGAAACATATCCTCAGCTCGGAGAAGCCAGGTTTCACAGGTGTGAAACCAGAATCCTTTACGCCGAAGCGGTGTGAACCCAACCTTCTACGGTCAGACTAACAACATCATGACGGCACCAAAGATGACTTTCGATATACGATTAAAAATTTCATCACACATATCCTAATCAGCATACACACAACTATCCAGATAAACAAACTTTTCGACTATATATAAACAACCAAATGAGCATACATAGAAAACATAGATGTACATATGTAGACACATTAGCGAAATCAAATATTGGGTTATTCTGAGAGATGACAAAACATTCAATGGTCAGTGATTATGACAAGGGTCAATTTAGGACCGGTAAATTTACAACACAAAATGAAGCAAAGCAAAACTCATGTATCACAGAGATAGAGGTTCAACATGTCCATCAAACACTATACTAAACTTTGAAAATGTATCGATTGGTCACAGGAGTGCAACCAATTTCATATTGTCTGGTCCTGAGTGCAGATCAAATTCTATCAATCATATTTGCATTGTGGCGACCAAGCCAGGAAGCTTAGCATTGAAGTGCACATTGTTAGATGTTCGTTGGTTGAAGGCAATCGGCAGGAAGTCCTGGACCTAGGTGACGTGCTTTCTCGTACTCATCAGAAAGGCGTATCTGCAACCTCGACGGAACTGACATCCTACCTGAGATTCGAACCCGCGTCAACCAGTATTGCAGTCAGCGACTTTACCATTGAGCTATTCCGGCAGCAGCTGACCTCCTGTAGGACTGCCATACATTCAGTCCCGTCGCGACTGCACATACTCCTTGGCGACGAGTAACAAAAACCACGAAACCTAGGAGATACATTCAGCTGACAAGTGAGTTCCAAATGGGATGAAATGCGCGTCCTTGACTTCACTCTAGTTGCTGTTCTCCATCATTACTACCGAACTTATTCTGATAGCTTAGCGGTCTGCACTTCACTCCCCAGTCTTACATAATATATCTTATGTAACCTGTATACGTTAGGCTTGTAGTTGAACAGAATAGTTAGATTATGTAAAAAGAAGCGAGTGATTCATCTGTGTTCAACATTACATGTTGTTAATGAGTTGAGGTCAGATTGAATCATTGAAAAGTGTGGTTTTTAATATACTACTAAAATTGCTGATATAAAAACTTATATAAAGGCAGACAGTGATCATACTTCAAGCTATAACGTAGTAGATAAGATCATAGGCTATTGGATTAAAGTCTCACTGACGGCATCACTGACAACTGATGAATCCAGTGTTGGACGAAACATGCATTCTGAATCTCATTGTTAGCTAGCTAGATAGCTAGCTACCATCCATATATTCTGTTTAGCGGTTTACTGGTATTAAACTGATTAGGTGCAGGTTCCAACCCTACTCAGCCTATTATTAGAAGTCATTACTCACATTGACTACAGTTCCATAGTCCAGTAAATCATCGCTTTCTGAATTGATGAATTACATCATTGTAATATCAAAGTTATCTGTCATTGTTTATTAGTTCATCAACTTCTACTTCTTATACTAATTTACAGCTGATTTTGGTGTCGCAGCTCAAATAACTCAGACAATTCAACGTCGAAATTCATTTATTGGAACACCATATTGGTAAGTGTGAAACACTTGAATTTTTGGCCTTCATTGAATCTGAGAAAAGCGGGAGATGATTTTGAACCCCTTTGTCTTTTCTTACTATTTACCAAAATTATAAGACCAACAGTCAGGTAACATCCTCCTTAGCACACGACATGTCGAGGTAGGTGGTAGTTTAGCATATGCAGTACATGTGAAAACCATCTCAGTCGATGGAGGTTCACAAACTTAATCAGTCAACTTACATGTCTTGCTTAGTGTCTTTCGCCTGATCTCAAAATTGCTTACACAGTGATTCCAACACACACGAGTAATCCTACGATGACATCAGTGACCTGTAACCGCTTCCTATGGTCTACTTTTAATGGTCATCTCTCAGTCATACAGAAGGTTAGGACGAATTAAAGTACAGTATACTAGCCAATTGATACATAGTCGACTATCTCACCAGTCAGTGCAAACGACAAACAGACCTCCTGTATCCGAGTTAAGATTTTGTCAGCAACCAACTGAAGTAAGTGAAGTGGTCGAGATATTCCACCACTTCACTCCCAATCATTAAACTAAGAGTGGCTGCAGCACATCAGTTCTGCGGTATCATCTCACATACCAGAAATACTCAGATTTATGCTCAACCCCTACGTTGAGTTCAGAAGACCCTACATTTCGTCAGAGTCATCTGGACATACTCCACGTAATAGTAGGTCAATCCGTATGAAGTCAGACCTACCTAAGGTTATGTGAGTTAGCACGTGTATGACGAAGACAAAGACACCACTAGTTGTCGTCAATTCACATGAAAACTTACATGGCTGCTTCAATTCGAGTAGAGAGCTTTGATTAGCGTTACATGCTTTCTGCGTACTCTCCCTTTAGACACTACCACAACACCTTATGATTGACAGAGTTGAATGTCACTCTCAGATCTATAAATATGGTAAATATCAGCCGCTTATCTTCCAGAACTTGTTCTCGGCTAAAAGATATGATCCATACATACTCGTCTAGGTTTTTGGATCCTACCTGATTGTCTCCAGTTCACTGTTCTCAACGTCGAACCCGTAACCTCACAAACCACAACTCCAACAAGAGTTTAAAAAAAACCTGATTTCAGTCACAAATGGTATACAGAGCAGTTGAAATTGTTGATGTATAAACCATCTGGCTTTGACAGAGACAGAGAAACATCCTTCAGTAAAAGGATTTCGTATGAGAAATATTTGCACCACGGCAGGGCACTCATATATATACAAATCGAAATGTATAACTCTATCATAAAGACTGCGGTTCCTTCAGACTGAACATATACTGAGTTTTCTACTCTTGACGAAGTATTATTATTATATAATTTGTCCTTTGGGTTCCTAATGGAATATAGGACTTCAGTAGCACGTCTCCATTCCATTCCGTTCTCTGAAAACCTTTGAACCTAACTCCACCACAGCACACAAGCTCTCATTTATTCCTCACACACTATCTCCTCCTCCATGTCACCCTTACCTCTCACGCCAAACTCCCAGTTTCCCATCTCCATTCCACTCGAGACACTGGCCTGGCACGTGATGTCACCAGTCGGCCTTCTCAGTGTATGCCCAATCCAATCAATCTCCACTTCCTTCCAGTGCATATTTGTTGAGTGATAGGTTCTTGCTTCGTTGGTTGGTTGGTTGCCAGCCAGCCAGCCAGCCAGCCAACGGGAGTTCCTCCTTGTTTATTCTTATTATTCTGGCCATCTGATCTGATCTCATCGTGAGTAACGAGCCAGTGTAGGTGGCAGTTGTTGATGAATGTGTGTAGTTTGTTGGAAATGCGTTTCGTAAGGCGCCAAGTCTCTCAACCATCACATAGAAGCATAGCACTGACTTGACTGAATTGGTGTTGAGAATCTGGATGTTGTTGAGGCTTTATGGTGAGTGGAGTGTAGAAGATGTCGACACTGGTTTTAGGTTAATGAAGGCGTGTGTGTTGGTGTGTTTGCGATGGTGGCTGATTTTGATGTCGTCGTCTGTGCCTGTGTCACCACCTGTAGTCGAGACAGTGGTGCCTATGTGGGTAGGTGAAGGGGGCTACTTCCTTTACGTTCCTCCTGTTGATGGTGTTTGATGCTTGTTGTTGATGCTGTTGTTGGTTGAGTATCATCATCACCTCTGTCTTCTCTACGTTCACTTAAAGTCCCCTCTTTGCTGCCCTGCCTCTTCTGTCAACTCGTTAGTTTTCGCCTGTAGATCTTCAAGTTTGTGTGACGAAGTAGTGATCATAATTTATACCAATCACTTTGCATAACATCGATTGCATGTGGTCAACTCGTAGAATACACATTACTTGTAAGTACTGTATGTTTGCATACGTTCCTCTGGAAGTTTACATCATCATCGATTCCAATGAACAAATTACATCGTATTACACCCATATGATCCAGCAAAAGTGTATACACACACGACTAATAGGATATTTTTTTCATCCAGTAATAAAGACAACCAGTTGTAGACGATAGGAACTGGTCCCTTACGTCTCAGAGACCCGTAACTAGTTCAGACTAACCGTCAGAGACTTTGTCGACTACTGCCACATCTCCGTCTAGCCACCCCTGATTCCTTTTTTATTACAATGATGGATAGTGGTTAGCAGAGTGGAATTCTAGGATGAGCGGCGTTTCGTCCCGTTTCGAATTCATTAGCCTCCCATTCTTTGTACCAAGAGTATATATGATCTACGATTAATGATGCATATCGACTGTCTATTAGTAAAATTCAGGCTCAGACCCAGTCAACAATGGCATAATACAAACCATAACATAAATATTCAGTCACCTAAATACTTGGAAGTATTCGAAGTATGACATGAATACTAATATTAAGAACTGAGCACAGCTGATGAGGTCAAAAGATACGGACGAAACCTAAAAGTTCACTGTATCCATCATTCAAAGCAAAAAATTTCCACAACAAATACTGACAATATTATTTCATCAAAGTGAGAAAAAAAGTTATCAAAAGTATACAACTGAAAGGAAAGTTGATTGTTTGTTTTGATGTCAGAGGTGCTTACCCGTAGTAAAGTTTGAGCTGTAGGCCGTTTCTTTTCATTTTTTGTTAGAGCTGCTTTAAGAAAGTTATGAAATTTTTGAGACCTAAAAAATAAAATAAACATAATATAATGAATAGCTGATGAAGTGTCATAGATATGTTGTGATATGATAGTCAAGCTAAAACCTTCGGTGACTGGAATGAGATTATAACCTAACCACCAAAATGCGTCTTGTAACCCAATTGATAATGTAGATGCTGATGGTTCAAATCTTGATATGATATCCAATTTCACTTAATCTTCAATTATAATCCAGTTTCATTGATTTCTCAAGGCATTTTGTTCAAATAGCTTTCCATGGTGTATCCAACCAGGAAGCGGTAACTACTCTCTAAAGTATGTTAGTTAGTACTAAATCTCTCTCAAATCACTATCACATCTTAGCCACTTATTCTTGTTTCACATATCTCAATCAATAATCCTATATCATCTTTAATTTATTTCACCTTTCGATAGAGATCTGAGTTCATGAAATAGAATATTTACTCTATGGAAACTATACGCTGATATCCACACTCTCTCAATCAAATCAGTAAACATATTTTGCTAGCCGAAAATCTAGCATTTGATATCGTAGATATGTGATGATACACGTATACAGGGCCAAGACGCAGTCATCCACATAACTTAAATCCGTTATATATACCATTCGAGCCTACGATAAGTTGTCTACGTTGAATGAAGTCGTTCAGGAATACATATATGTCCATATATATACATGGCTTCGCTAGCACATTGCCATTTCACTCTGCTCGCTGTAGTCGTTTTAACCTGGCACTATGACTGCCCATAAACTTGCATTTCTTCCTCATATCATCTCCTTCATGTCACCTTCGGATGTCCAACTCCTCGTTTCCCAACTCCATTCCACTCAATGGCCTGGCCTGACGCGTGTCATGTCCCAAAACCGTCTTCTCAGTTTGTGCCTAATCCAATCCATCTACTTTTTTTCTGCATATTCGTAGGGCGATACGTTCTCCGTTAGTTCGTTCCCAGAGTTCCTTGTTGCTTATTCTTATTATTCTGGCTATCTGAGCTTCAGTAAGTAACGAGCCAGTGTAGGCAGTTGTTGATGAATGTCTGTAGTTTGTTGAAAATCCCTTTCGTAACGCGCCAAGTCTCTGAACCATAATAAAAGCATTGACTTGACGTTGGTATTGAAAATCCGGATCTTTTTTCACATACTGAGTGCATAAGATCTTCACACTGGTTTCAGGTTAATGAAAACCTCCCTTGCTTTTCTGATCCTGGCTGGCTTTGATGTCGTCATCTGTGCCGCCACCTGTAGTTGAAACGGTACTGCCTAGATAGATGAGAGAGGCTACTTCCTCTATTCTCAATTACACACTACTCGTCGGCAGAAAGCAAATAATAACATAATGAAGGCTAGTCGATAAGAACCAGAAAAAGAATTGTCACCAAGTAGACCATAGCAACAAGAATGGGTAGTAAATTACTTAAGAAGTGAATAGTGTCAAAAAAGAATAATGAAAAAGTAAAGAGGAGAGGGAAGTAGACGAGACTGAAAAGTAAGACGATGAAAGGAGAAAAAGGATTGAACAATCTTCTTTTGGATGGCAAGATCTTCAATGATTCAGAAAATACGAAGATATACAGCCTTTGGAAGGTTTCTTTCCACTTTATAAATGACTTTGGATGAGAAGGTTCTTGAGATAGGGTGGTTAGCGTTTACAATGTGTTCAATTATAGGACTCCCTACCGCTTCACTGTAACCACGTGGGATAGTGTTCTTGAACCCTATTGAATAACAGTCGCATCGAACGACCTATTTACCTGGCTCCACAAGAGCAAATGAATTGACATATGCATATAGAAGTGGTATTCTCCGGATCGTTGAAGCTCTTGTCACCAAAGACTGTTCAACCCTTTTCTCCCTTCATGGTCTTAGTCTTCAGTCCGTAAAATCTACTCTCCACCAGAACCTTCCCCCCCCCCAAACCTCTTTCTTTTCATTTTTCTATTTTAACACCAATCACTTCTTAAGTAATTTGCTACTCATTCTTGTTGCTATGCTCCACCTGGTCACCTACATTTCATACTTGCTGGTATTCATAAGCAAGGTGCATTTGCAATCTCAAAGGATTTAACGCTATATCACTTAACGTTGTAATCAGCCACATTATCATTCAGCTATTCGGGAAGGGATACACTTTCTATACGACACGGTCATAGAAATTGATTGGTAGTCACTAATTGAAGAATAGTAAATTTCTGAGAGCTAATCGAAATGACAAAAGTATGAGCCTTGAAGACAAGCCAGCAGAGATGAAATCAACGTGAAATCTCTCTCACTCTCTCTCTCTCACACACACACACACACTTCACAGTAGATAGAAAAGAAGTGATATAGAACTAGGTAGTCTGAGAAATGTCAAAAAGAGAATACATCTACGACATTTATTATGACCAATTTTCAGCAATGTCAACCACTATCGTCTCGGGGACCTCTACCAATAAGCCAAGCCGTCTCTACATATCTCTACACAGCTTACATCAACTGGTCACCTGGTCATCACGTCGTATGTCTAGATAGACAATGAGTCAGCAAGCACACCACATGTCCATGCTAACTCAACCACTGTAGAATAATAACCTCAGCAACTGACTTGCTCTTAGAAACGAGAAAAACAGAAAATGACTAAGAATCCCTTGAGAACCTTCTTTGTGAACGACTTTCTTTGATTCATACAATAAATCGTGTAAAGACTGTAAATATTGTAAAGTTGTAGCATACCTATAAGTTGAATATCATATGGACTATCTGAGATAGCAACTATGGTTTGACAGACTGGTATTACTGACAATGAAGCTGAAAAGGAAAAAATTTGAACCACGGCTGAATTCGAACCAGCAACCACCAGGTTTCCGACCCGATGCCCTACTAACTGATTAACGAGGTCCGACTGCTGACAACGTCCTAACTGAGAAGCCAGTGTGAGTACTGTCAAACGGTAGTAACTCGTCACGATGTTACATAGTAGTCGTCAGGTGAAGCAACCCTTGATGGTCAGCAGCTGAACCTTGTACGTCAAGCTGGTGGTCGCTGGTTCGAATCCGACCGCGGTTCTTTAAATTCAATCCATAAGATAGAACACTTCCTTAGACGTGAAAAAAAAACACATCAATCAGTCAATTAACAATTCAATATGAACATGGGATCTAGTTTCGTTGAAAGAGTACTAGATGGGTGACTAAAAGGATGCTGATTCGAATCGTACCTACGACTCAAAACTTTATTTCACCTTCGAACAGTACTCAGTGTTAAAACAAAACAAATAAACTTGTAAATCTAACTGCCAGACAAAGACTTTTATTGTAGTTAATTTGCACACACACACACACACACACGGGTGCCCTTCACAAATTAGAACACTCGAAAGAATAAGGATTGAATGAATTTTACACCTGTTTTTGATCAAATCTTTTCAGTTCTTGTCATGATTAACTAAAAACTTTGAACATATACATATGATCAGTCTTTAAATAAAGATAGAATTGGTTACAGGTAGTAAGGTTACTCACATACACCCCCCAACAAGTATATAAACCCTATTAACAATGAATGCAAATCTCTTAAGTAAATAAAACCAGTGAACGAACGAAGATAAAATGGCTGGTAAATATTATTTTAACTCACAGTGATTCACTTCAAAGAATGATACATTTCAGATGTACTACTTGAATGTTGGTATATGGTTAATGAATAGTACCACTTACTCGACCACTGTAGGCAGATAAGCTCCTATGCAGAAGCCACAATACTCCCTATCATTCATGATATGATGTTGATCTTAGTGACTAGCAGAGGAATCCAGCATGACGTGCATTTCGTCCTGTTTGGGACTCGTCAGCCGGATGTACCGAGAAATTACAACAACTGATACCCATTACACAAGAGGTGGCTATCGTGCCCCCAGTGGTAAGTTAAGCCTAAGTCTTGATAAAACTTTCTACACAGGTAAACAGTTTAACTGAGGTTACACGCATTACTTAGCAATCATATGAACTAGCCAAAACGAGTTATGACTAGAAATGTGGCTTCAAAAACCTCCGTAACTCGACGTATGGAAGTAGTCAGGGCCAAGAACTCCATGAAACTTTTATTTCTAAATATTATCTAACACCGACAATCGCAATAAAATGCTGCATTCCTATATCACACCGCTTTCTGGTCAACTGAATTCTCTGAGGACTGTAAGACTGAAATTCCTCGATTAAACTAGCTGCCTGAAAACACAACGTATGTTGTATACATGGCGAATTTAGGTCACATTTCAAGACGCTTTATATGTCAACCATCTGACCTTCAGGGTTTACGGCGAACACGTTAATCAGCCAGTCACTGAATTAGACAGATCAACGGTCCACAGTTTCCTACTTCCGTCAATTCATAAAAGTCTGTGACTAGCCAACAAACGTTTTTATTTGGCATCGACTTCATTTCAAAACGTATCCGCTTAGGATGAAAAACCTGATTTTTCCTACCTTGATCATGGTATATTATCTTATCTATACATAACATACATAAAACACTACGTTAACTAAGTAATAAATTGTCACACAGAGAAGCGCATGTGATCTGTCAAAGCCAAGGTAATTTATTCAATGAATTGTGACGTCCCTCCGCCCCCCCCCTCCCGCCACTCCGTCTTCTAATCCATACTTTCGTCTGCTTTCTCCAATTCAGACATCAGATAGACACGTATGGAGGCTTGACACAAATAACAACATGTAAAGATGCAGTATTGTTCATTGCAGAATTGACAATAGGGATGAAGAAACCAACCAATCCACAAAAAGCACCACTCTATTTTTACTAGACACTAGCCTCGACATGGATATCTCAAGGAGCTCACTTATGAGAAGCGGTGACCTATAAGATTAACTTAATCATTTGAATTTTGAGAACAAATACTCACTGACAGCATACGATGATGATCGAGGTTATATCACGATCGTGGGTTCAGTCTCTCACGAGGTTCACAATGAATAACTCTGCTGCAGTTCGCTTTGTTCTATTGT